TCCGATCTTTCTCCAAGTAGTTAAGCCTAATTTCGCGAATATGCGGATCGACTCTTGAGTATATTCTTGTAGAGGAAATCAAGTAGATCATTTCTAGAAAAAACCCGAACTTTTGGGAGGAAAAAAGCCGCGAAAAAATCCGCAATAATTATGCATCAACCTAATAATTTGGGCTGATCGAAAACTGTGAGTTCTAGGTACGTTCTTTGCGCATTGGAGAAAAAGTGCATGGCACCTCCTGGTTCACAGCTATTTTGCGAATTTGGTGAGAATCCTTTCGACTACTTCGCAGGATGTCACAGGTAGGAAAGGTGGAGAACATCAGGATGTGTCGTAGCGAAAAAGAAGTCATATGCTGTTGGAGCGAATTTTTCTCCCCTCGCCGCGACATGCGTCGCTGGCGAGGTGCGGGAAATTGGCGCCTTGTCCTGACGGCAACTACGCCGCGGCTTCTGACAAAAATCTCGGCAGACGTTGGAGTTTAACAAATCACCTATTGCAGATATGACCAATCAGTAATCAACTTTCTACTCGCCAATGCTTACGGGTACAATGCAAAGAACTATGTTAGCTGCCTTGGATTTGAAGGAGCTATTGTTAATCGAACAGCATCGGATTCATAGAAATCAGAAGACTTTTTGTGCGAACCACGATGAGTCAGAGATCTTTATCTCATGATGGTTGTATATATATATATATATTGATTTTTTTCATAGATCACTGAGTTTGAGAAGTTTTTATGAATGGTTTTCATTATTGTCTATTTCTTTCTGAAAGTCTGTGTATGAGTGCTATATCATAAAATGGAGGGTCAAACGTTTTTTTTTGTGCTGAACAAGAATGTTTCGTTCAGACGCACCATAATTGAATTAACTAGTGAGTCGCAACGCCAACTCCTTCTTATTTGGGGATTTGTTCCCTTTAGTACGGAATGGAACAGTTAATAAGTGCACTGGACAGATCAATTGAAGTGTTTGGTACTTCAATACTTCATTACCACTCAATCCATAATGTACATATGTAACTGCAAAGCTGCGCAGTTGTGCACGTATGTAATAGTCTGAACCGAGCGATATTGGAATCAGTGCAATAATTTGAAGGCACTGTTCACGATAAAAAAGTCATTGAGTTCTTACCTTATTAATACTCAGGGGCCCCCATGGGTTGTAGAAGGGACCCTCTCACTCCCCCAATCTCGACGTCCAGAGCATAGTGGCAGCTCCGTTGTTGCCGTAGTTGGCGTGCCCGCCCCTCGATCGGTGTCGCGTTAGACGAGTGTCGAGACAATACAGATTGCTATTATTCGTTCTAGGACCCACGCACAATCAGCTAATCGCCGAGTGATGAGGCGATGTTTTTCTCCCATTCTTTTTTCCTCTGTTTTTCTTTTTGCTGCCGCGATCCCTTATTCAATTTCCTACTCCTAGAGGCTGAAAAAGGTGAGCTACTTTTGCTGTTACTAAGGTTTTTTTTGTTTATTTATGCTTAT